TTTAATTTTTTTTTTTTTTTTTTTAGAAGATCAGGGATCAGATGGACCAGGTTAGGGAATGAGATAGCTTGCCTGCAATCTGGTTTTTCATGCTCTTGCCTAAGTGGTGGGTGAGGAGAGGTAGAGATAGAGTCCTCCAACTAAGGGTTGCATGGGCTAGGTTAGAAGAGATAAGACTCCTTGGTATCTGGTAGCACATGCGATTGTGTGGGCCAGGTTAGGGGATAAAGACATCTCAGGATCTGCTAGTGCAGCCCTTGCCTAAGTAGTGGATAAGGGGAGAACAGTAGGAATTCTCTCATTGTCCTACCTGTTCATAAGGCTGGATGGGCTGGGCCATGGGAGAAAATAGATTCCCTGGGATCTGGCAGTATAAATTTTTGGAAGGTTAAGCAACAAGAGGTAGGGTTGAAATCAACCACCAGATTGGTGCTTTTATTACAAATTCATTTGTTGAGGCTGATCTTGTTATTATTATAATTTCATTTGTTAAGGCTAAATGAAAGGCCACTTAAAACCGAAAGTAAGTGCAAAGCTGAATTTACTGCTGTGACTGCCTCACTGATTTCTTCCCTGCGGCTCCAACTGACCCTGGCCTCTTGCATACCCCCTCCCCCCTGTGCTCTACCAGCTTCCAGCCAAGGAGATAAAATATCTAGCTGCTCCTGGCAACTACCTTGTAACTCCTGAAGTGCCTGTGTTAAAAACTCTTTGGTATGTTCCTGTAAAGAAGCATGCAGTAAAGTTTGGGCAAAATTTGCACTAAAGAGGAAAAAAGTAAAAGTGATTTTATGAGAGGCCTGCAAGCTGATTCATTGAATACACTGCTATATGAATAAGGAATTGGAATTGATATACGTTACATTTTTGAACTGTGAATGTTTGTTTACAAAATGTTAGAAAAAATTTCTCTACGTGCAAAATTTTCAAAGTAGACGTGATATCCTGTTGGTTGACAAATTAAAGGTATCATTCTCGATGGCCCTGGCTTTCTGCCAGCAGGAGTGACTGATAGGTCTTAAAACAATTCAAGGCCTGCTTGCCAAGTAGTTTCTTGAAACAATGTGGACAGCTTCAGAATGCTGGATTCTTCTATCAGTTAAAGAAAAAATCGGCTGCCTCTTTTACAAAGTAAAACTTGTATTTCTGATAAAGCCGCTTTTGCATGTCAAACTTATAATTCCTGCCAAAAGTTGGCCCACTTGATCTGCAACATGACACAGAGTTTTGGGCCCACCTAGTCCTTAAAGATTGACTCCATCAGACCTCTTAACCCCCTTCTAGGACTATTGGTGATGCCTTACTACTGTTACGACTTTTTCAGGTTACAATCACTGACAGTTTTATCACTGATTCTGGCAACATCATTGTGGCCCTTGAAATTAATCTGTGTCTTATTTTATATGATGGACATTCCGCACATCCCACACATCCAAGTGGTTATAACCAATATTGTTAATTGCATTGTAAAAATTGATATTTTTTTATATATGTAATACTTCTCTTGTAAGTCATGTTCCCAGTGGAGGAATGCCAAATTTGAACAGTGGTAGTGGGGCCAGTATACAGCCAGCCCCCCACTGGATCTCTCAGCCGAGCCACGTGGTATCAGTAAAGCAGTATAGGATGCCAGGGAAAGGGAAAAGGGTGGAAGGGAAGGTCTCAGTCTTGATTAAAGAGCTAGTAGAGACAGGAGTGCTTAAGAAACCTATCCATCATATTGCACAAACTGCCCTCCCACTTGGTCCAGTGAATCCTAATGAGACAGTTGCACTACATGTGTCAGTGACTGACTATTACGTAAACTGGCACCTGTGGCAAAAAGATATGGCCACTAAACAAAAGCACTTCGGTGTTTTGGACATGATGCATATGTTAGAATATGGCTATATTTGAAGTCTTTGGAGTCTTAAATAATTAACCTATTATGAAGACCTAACTCAGGAGGAATTGTGAAACTTTCTCTCTATATTTTTTTTCTACTTTAATTCTTTGTTCTCCATTTAATGAGGGTTGGACAGCCTCACCTTTAAGACTATTACATAGTACCTAAGCAGAAGCACTTTCTCCCTAAGCAAGCTTGTTACCATCACTGGGATCTAGGCAGTCAATTAATGTTTTCATTTTAACTTCTAACTCTTTCAACACCTCTTAGGCTATAAACAGGGATGGTGATGATATCTATGTTCTTTAACAGAGGAGTGGATGTAAAAAAGTAGAAAATAAAATTTTCACAAGTAAACTGTATTGTGTATAATATGCATCTATTTGTACCAAAATTGTGATTTAGCTCTTCTCCATAGCCACCCTTTACTGTGTATGTTCATGAGCAGTGGCTAAAAGACAAGAAGTAATAAGACGAAAACAGAGCATAATGCTTTGTATATAGGAAGAGTTATTTTTCCCACAGACCCCGAAGATTGAAGGAAAAAAAGAGATCACAGATCAGACTTTATATGAAAAAAAAAAAAATCAGCTTATACCCCCGTCTGCTATCATATCTATTGTTTTCTATAATATAGTATGTGCACTACCATTAATGCTTCCTGCTCACCTTCTGGGACATCCACATGAAAGGAATAAAGGACATTTTCAATGTTTTAGGGGCACTGAATTAGAGATTTTAATAGAATATTAGAAAAAGAGATCTAATATCTCAGATTTCTACCTTTTACAGATAACGCTGTAGATCCAGATGTATCTGCCAGGACGGTCTTTATAGATGTTGAGGAGGTCAAGAATAAATCTTGTTTGACCTTTACTGATGATGGATGTGGAATGACACCCCATAAATTACACCGAATGCTCAGGTAAAATGTCTTCATTCTTTGTCTCTTGTCTTGAGTTCATGAACTATAGTTAAGACTTGATGATATTCTTTAATATTTTACTTTCCCTTTATTCATTCAACAAATATTTATTAAGCATATATTATGTGCCAGGGCACTAGTTATGAAATAGACACTGGTTTTGCCCTCACAGAGCATACTGTCTAGCTGACAATTCATATAGTTAAGCAATAATTATAATTTAAAAAATGATAAGTATAATGATAAGAAAGTATAGGATGCCATGGGACAAGTCAGCAGGGGAACACAATCTGATCTAGGAGGTCAGGAAAAGTGCCATAGGTGAAGTGATAGTTAAACTGAGATCTAAGTGTGAGTAGTCGAATTTAACAAGGTAAAGGAACAGGGGGAAAGGGATAAGAGTTCAGGCAAAGAGAAGAGCAAATGTAAAGACATGGAGGCCATCACTGGTCTGGGACCTTCTCCAATTTATATTAACCTAAATTACTCTTAAATCAGAAGTATTTGGAATTGGGATGATCTTTGGACTAAAATTATGAATGTAACTGGACATAATCAAGCCCCATGAAAGATAAATAGAAGGCATTTATACACATAATCTTTGAAGGTTTTGCAATAGAATTTCAAAATCAGGAAATTCTCTTTTCTAGCTGCTGAAGCTGGTGATACAGATTTCTATTGCCACTCCCAGTTCAGCTAATTACTTGAAAAGGTTTGTAGTTGAGAATGTAAGTTTGTACTTGATTATCTTCACTTATCACTCAGTGAAAGATGAGTATTTTCTTAATTCCTTCCTTCTCTCTTCCTTTTTTAGCAGATGAGGTTCATTACTCTCCACGTGGGTTCCTGAACTCGTGTGTGAAGCATGAGTAACAATGGAGGGGTTCTATGGAGGGGAAGGGGCTTCAAACTATAGAACTGGAAAACATTCATTTAGTTGTAGTTCTCTTTGAAGGTATTCTAATTCTGTAACCCTGTTTGTAGGGAAATCCTGTTGATCCATGAAAGAAAATAAATGAAACTTGGGCATAACTAATTATAAATTTGGTTATGTTTTACCACTTGGCGGTCTGTGTACCTTGTGTCTCATACCCTCATAAAAAATGTTTGAGGGAAGTGTCTAGAAGTGACATAAGAAAGTGGCCAGTATGTTGGTAAAGTTATGGAGCTGGCCCTATCTTTTAACTTATAGCATCACTTTTGTCTGCTAAAGTTAATATTTTATATTAAGATAAATACAATTTTAGGTGGGAATGAAACCAAAATATTTGTATGTCTAATTCTGTATGTAGTAGTTTTTTTCCTAAATCACTTATCTTCTTACTGACTCTTCACCACACCTTATTCCAGTGACGAAGTTGTTAAATACTGAGCCCAGATCTTACCGCTTTACATTTCATCTGTGGAAACTACATCTGTGAAAGTTGGTGCTTATAGTTACAAGGCAGGAGGAAGAAGGAGGATGGTTTTAAAATAATTGCAACAATTTTTGTTTGAGATTCATTAAACAAATTTTTACTGAACATCTATGTAAAAGTCACTAGAGATAAAGTGGTGAGCCAGACAGACATGATCCTTGCTCTCAAGGGACTGACAGTTTAACAAGAACTATAGAAAAGTATAGATTACAAGTAATACTACTAAATAGGCTATCCCTCCTAGTGATAACTGCTATGAAGGAAGAGTACAGTTTCTGTGAGAGCATTTAACGGAGGGATCTGCTCTAATCTATGGAATCCAAAATGGCTACCCTGAAGAAATGGCATTTGAGTTGAAATATGAAGGGTGTGTATCATTCATTTAAAATTTCATTTCTTTCGTGAGGAACAAAACAGACGTAAACAGGCAGAAACTTCTTTTGCCCTAGCATTTTTTGACATTATCATGCCAAATATGTTTCCCACCAATTTGGGCTGGGAAATTGTTCCTTATATTTAAAAATTAATTTTAAATAATTTTTAATGTGTCCTGGATTATATATGGTATATGTGCTAGATTTTATTTCTGATCATATCTTAAAACAAACTTGAATCTGTTAGAAGGTCCCATTTATTTAGAAGAGATCATTTATCCGATCCTAACTTGTAGCCAAGGATTCCACTTACCACAATTTCTCTTTTAAATAATTGAACCTTAGAGGTAGCTTTGAAAATTATTATTAGGTATATTAATTTTTCTTATATTGGTTTGGGCACATATTGCTTTTATATTTAGAAAAAATAATATGCAAAATTATTAAGCCTGCAAAAATTCTATTTGATCTATAACATTTCTTATAATCCTATCCACATTTTCCAGTTCTTTGTGCTAATCTTTCTATTTTCAGGCTAGTAAAATAGTTATGTAATTGCAGCAACAGTTTTTCCCATAAATACACAATCCCATGAAAATCAAATTAAATAGGAAAAGCCTATCAAATTTCTTTAAGGTCCACAATTCTCTTTAGCTTCTTCAGTTAGTGTGTGAACCAGCTAGTCTATATATTCAGCTGCCTTTTTCAGCAAGGTGGAAAACCTGTTCTTTCAGAGGTCAAGGATTAAAAGCAGCAACAGATCCATGGATTGAAGATATTTGCTACCTCTGCCTAGAAGTGCATTTCCCAGTAGGTCATTTCTAAAACAACAGCAAGAGAATAGCAGTGTGCTTAGTCTTTCATTCTTTTATATTGCATATTACATCACCAATATATCTAGGAAACAGCAGTGCCCACCCTTGTATGTGCATGGATTTGCTAAGGTTTGTTTCATTGGTCAGAATCCCAATTTAAATTCACCTCTCTAGATTCTAGAATCTTGACATTTTGATAAATTCAGGAACAAGCTGCTGTCTTCCTGAATAACACTCAAAGAGCTGGTATCCAAGCCCCCTTAGTGTATAAATACTGTTGTCTCTTACACAAGAGGATAGAGTGGGACTTAGTGAAGAGAAACCACGTATCTAAGCCAAGCTATCTCTGTGGAAAATGAGTGAGCTACACTGAACTATACAAAATTCATTCCTACAACTCTATCACTTATTGTGAGGGCTTTTATATTAGGTAGTAATTTGATTGGTATCTGGCATCTATTCTGCAATTTTCAGTTAAATAGAGTACCTAACATGGGACTGTTAAGCAGAATAAAAGAATACATGGGAAGAATTAAGTGGAACATAACAATATCCAGAGTTCCAGATTCTCTCTTCTCATTATTCTTGTCCTTTTCCATTTCTCGTTCTAGCCCTGCCCAACTTCTTACTTTCTCAAAATATTGAGAACAATAGTTCAGTAATTTGGTCTTCTCAAGCCAAGTAACACAATCAAGGTTTATATTCACAAAGGGGAAAAGAGATGATAGAAAGCTAGGAAATTAAGAAAGTAATATAGTCTCTCTATTTTCACTACTTTCTCTTGACCACCTAATTGAAGCTTTTGTAGCATTAGAGGTTTAAGTTCAGATAACCATATAGATTCATTTCATGTAGTAGGTTACTATTTATGAAGAGCCGTGACTTTTATATATGATATTAGATCTGAAGTAGAGCTAGAGGATAGCACATGACAATTCTCAGAGTGACTTCTAGAGTTAGTTTAAAATTCAAGTTTGAGTAGTACTTTATAATATATTGTGCATGAAGTATATAACTTAATCCTCATAATGACCACATCTTTTCTAGCCAGTTTTTTTTCATAAAGAATAGGAATGTCTTAATTTTACCAACTATTATATGTTTATTTCCTGGAATACTAAGGCCCATAGACAGCAGAAACACAACACTCTTTTGGCATTTTCAAAGGAGCTACTGTCCTAGAAATTACTTTTCTCTGTAGTTATATTTATTTGTAGGGTGCACAAAGCTCTTGTAAATTGTCTACTCTAGAAAGACTTAATAGTATTATTGTATAACACTTTGAAATAGAAAATTGAAAGGTGGTATTCCTTCTTAGGGAATAAACACAAGCAACAGCCTCAGGAAGTAGAAACCAGGCAACTCAACCTTGCTCAAAAGTATAAGAGCCATGGCCATGCTGCTCAGACATGGCATATAGAGTGTCTATTTTATTCATGTTAGAGAAGCATCTAATCTGTAATATATGAAATCTTTCCTTGGACTGTAAACCACAAGGGCAAGAATCATGTCTCTTTAATTAACAGTTTTATCTCCAATATTTAGCACAATGTATGGCACATAATAGGTAATTAGTAAATATTTATTGAATGAATGGTAGTGTACAACATTGTAAACTTAGTCAATCTGGAGAGAAACAGCCCTTAAATTAGTTTTATTTGTAGTGAGGGAAGATATATGAGGAAGATAATAATCATTTTCTAGATTTCATATGTTTAACTTTTTTGGTTTCTATTATTTTGTTGCATGTTTGAATGGAGAATATATGAAAGGGAAAAGATATGACTCCCAGATTAAACTGATCATAAGGGGCTACAGAGATTGTTGAGGTGACTCAGTGAAATGCCCTTAATAGAACAAGAGAGACTTTATACTGCAGCTGTTTGCTGATATTCAGAGGCAGAACTACCTATTTTTATCCCTTGGCCACATTCCAATGAACTGTCCCAGCAGATGAAGCGGAGGGTAAGAATTGGAAGGGTTATCTTTTGGGTGGAGAGTTGAAATTGTTAAGATATATAACCTTTGACTTTCAGATTTCTAGAAGGTGCTGTAACTAGGTTAAGGGATGTCTAGTCTGGTACTTCTGACCACTTCCACTATCTGGTACTTTTGTTACCCCTCTATACAGTGTACTCTGTGATAACCACCCTTTTTACCCTACCCTAACCTTACTATTAGCAATCAGAGCCATTTTCTCTAGACTAAAAGGCAGCTACCCATGACCTTTTACAGCTATCTTTGTTAGTGAAAAGAGGCTGCCTTTACATTTAACTTAATAGTTTCCCCTGAAATATCAAAAGGAAAAAAAAGAATGACATTTTACAAGTGTTATTCATTTGTAACCTAAACATTCTGCCTGTCACCCATCTTACGATGCTTTTTATCTTTTTGGTTTCTTTTTTCTGATTTCTTTTTTCTTGTGTAATTACAGCTTTGGCTTTACAGATAAAGTAATAAAGAAGAGCCAGTGTCCCATCGGGGTCTTTGGTAATGGTTTCAAGTCAGGCTCCATGCGGCTAGGAAAGGACGCTCTTGTCTTCACCAAGAATGGGGGTACTCTCACTGTTGGACTCCTATCACAGACCTACCTGGAATATGTCCAGGCCCAGGCAGTTATTGTACCAATTGTTCCATTCAACCAGCAAAACAATATCCTTTTGGGAAATGGAGAATGTTGGTTAAAAATTAGTCTAATCTGATATTTTGATAGAAATTTCTTTCTTCAGGTCAAATCCAGCTATCAATTCAACTGTCCTAAATTTAACTTGAATTTCCCCTTATTAAATGCTTTTTAAAAGTAAGTAGGCCTTTCACAGAAGCCTAGAAATGCTTTTGTTGTATGGAAAATTTCACTGTTATTTGATCTCTATCTCTCCTACACCACCATTACCTTGGTAAAGTTCCCCCTCTCTTTATTTTTTCCCTAAGGGTAGCTACATTTGTATTATACTCCTAGAAACATTCTATTCATCAGCTTATCTGATGGCAGAATCGCTCATTTTCCCATTCCTGGACAAGCTATTATTTCTGTTAGATACCAGGTCATCTTGACCCAAGCAGTACAGCAGTAAAGTTTGAACTCATGACTTCCAAAGGGTCTAAAAATTCAGCCTTTGATTTATTTTGTAAATATAGAACTGTGTTTATTTACATTATATTCTTGAAGCTATATTCTGCAGGGGTAACTGATTTTTGTGTTCATCTCTACAACCTTTATTCATTTTGCCTTTTCTTTTCTTCTGTAGCATTAATGTCCATGCTTTATGTCTCTATGTCTATATTTTGTCTAAACATGCAACTCAAAGGCAGATCTTCCTAACTAAAGTATCCTCTTAAAATACTAATTTTTCTTTGACTGCATTTGGTTTTACAAAAAATGATTATTACTGAGGATTCCTTGCCCAGCCTAGAAGCCATCTTGAACTATTCAATTTTCAACAGCGAAAATGATCTGCTGTCCCAGTTTGATGCCATCCCAGGCAAAAAAGGCACTCGTGTTCTCATTTGGAACATCCGCAGGTATAGTATACCAAGGGTGATAGATTCTAATAAGCAAAGGTAGTATGATGAAGTACATCCTAACAAATTTCAAGAGAAGCAGAGTAGATAAATTTTGATAGATATTTGTATCTTATTGCATACTTTTTCTTAACGTTTTTTTACAACCACAGTTCTGTTAGAGAAAGTGGTTCTTATTAGTAAAATGGGGAACTTGATAATATAGACATGCATATCCTGAGGCTATTGCCACAAATAATCAAGACAGTTCAATGTTATTCTAAAATATTTAGAATCCATTATAAATATCTATTTTATATTCATGGACACTGTTTTGAGACAGGTAAATGAAAGTTATATAATTTATTTGACAATGAAAAAGAGACATTAACAAGCATTTTCCTTAAGATCGGGAACAAGACAGGGATGTATGTCTTCACCATGCTTATTCAACATACTCCTGGAACTCCTAGCCACAGCAATCAGACATCCAAATAAAAGGCATCCAAATTGGAAAGGAAGAAGTAAAACTATCCTTACTTGCAGATTATATGACACTGTATATAGAAAGAACCCTAAAGATTCCACCAAAAAACTACTAGAACTGATAAGTGAATTCAGTAAAGTAGCAGGATACAAAATAAATATCCAGAAATCAATTACATTTTTATACACCATTAATGAACTATAAGAAAGGGAAACTAAGAAAACAATCCCATTTACAACTACTTCAGAAGAATAAAATACCTAGGAATAAATTTAACCAAGGAGGTAAAAAGACTTGTACTCAGAAAACTATAAGACTCTGAAGAAAGAAATGGAAGAAGATAGAAATAAGTGGAAGCGTATATCATGTTAATGGATTGGAAGAATTAACATCATTAAATGTCCATAATACCCAGAGAAATTTTTTAGATTCAACAAAATTCTTATTAAAATACCAATGACATATTTCACAGATCTAGAACAAATATTCCAAAAGTGTATATGGAACCACAAAAGACCCTGAATATCCACAGCAGTCTTGAGAAAGAAGAACAAATTTGGAGGAATCATGCTACCTGATATCAAACTATACTACAAGGCTATAATAATCAAAACAACATGATGCTAGCATAAAAACAGACATATAGATCAATGGAACAAAAAAGAGAGCCCAGAAATAAACCCACATCTTTATAGTCAACTAATATTTGACAAAGGAGGCAAAACTTACAATGGTGTAAAGATAGTCTATTCAATAAATAGTGTTGGGAAAATTGTACAGATATGAAAAAAAAAAAAAATGAAACTAGACCACTTTTTTATACCATACACAAGAATAAACTCGCCCTAACCAGTTTTGCCCAGTGGTTAGAGCATTGGCCTGAGGACTGAAGGGTCCCAGGTTCGATTCTGGCTAGAGCATTGGCCTGAGGACTGAAGGGTCCTGGGTTCGATTCTGGCAAGGGCACATACCTTGGTTTCAGGCTCAATCCCTAGTCCCAGTCGGGGTACATTTGGGAGGCAACCAATCAATGTGTCTCTCACATCGATGTTTCTCTCTCCCTCCCTCCCTCTCTCTTCCTCCCCACTCTCTCTGAAAAGCAATGGAAAAGATATCCTCAAGTGAGGATTTAAAAAAAAAGAATAAATGCAAAATGAATAAAAGACTTAAATGTAAATTGTGAAACCATAAAAATCCTAGAAGAAAGCATAGGCAGTAAAATCTCAAACATTTCTTGTAGCAATATTTTTTCTGTTATCTCCTCAGGAAAGGGAAACAAGAAAAAATAAACAAATGTGACTACATCAAACTAAAGTTTTTGCACAGCAAAGGAAACCATCAACAAAATGAAAAGAGAACCCACTGAAAGAGAACATATACATCTGATAAGGGGTTAATATCCAAAATTTATGAAGAACTTATAAAACTCAACACCAAAAAAATAATCCAATTAAAAAATGGGCACAGGAACCTGAATAGACACTTTTCCAAAGAGAACATACAGATGACCAATAGACATATGAAAAGATGCTCAGTGTTACTAATCATCAGAGAAATGCAAATTAAAACCACAATGAGATATAACCTCACACCTGTCAGAATGGTTATCACCAATAAATCATCAAACCACAAGTGTTCTCGAGGATGTGGTGAAAAGGGAACCCTCGTGGATTGTTGGTGGGAATGCAGACTGATGCAGCCACAGTGAAAAGCAATATGAAGTTACCTCAAAAAATTAAAAATGGAACTGCTTTATGACCCAGCGATTCCACTCTTGGGATTTTATCCCAAGAAACCCAACACACCAAATGGAAAGAATATATTCACTCCTATGTTCCTGGCATCCCAATTTACAATAGCCAGGATTTGGAAGCAGCCCAAGTGCCAATCAGTAGATGAGTAGATTAAAAAGCTGTGGTACATTTACACAATGGAATACTGCTCAGCCGTAAAAAGAAGGAAATCTTATCCTTTGTGACAGCATGGATGGACCTGGAGAGCATTATGCTAAGTTAAATAAGCCAGTCAGAGAAAGACAAGTACCATATGATTTCACTCATATGTGGAATCTAATGAACAAAATGAACTAACAAGCAAAATAGAGACAAACTCATGGATAGGGAGCACGCTGACAGCTGTCCGGCGGTGAGGGTGGTTGGGAAGCTGGTTTGGGGGATGAAGAGATTGAGCAAAAAAGAGAAAAAGAGAGAAAACTCATGGACATGGACAACAGTGTGGTGATTGCTAGAGGAGGGGGGAGTTGGAGGAGGGTATAGGGGGGATAAATGGTGCTGGACACACAATACAGTGTATAGATGATGTGTTGTATAATTGTGCACCTGATACCTGTATAATTTTGTTAACCAGTGTAATCCAATAAATTCAGTAAAAAGGGAAAAAAAGATAAAGAGACATTAGGGTAACAAAGTACAACACACTCTTTAAAAATAAGGACCTCATTCCCCGCCGGCATGGCTCAGCAGTTGAGCATCAACCCATGATCCAGGAAGTTGAGGTTCGATTCCCAGTCAGGGCACATGCCCGAGTTGTGGTCTCAATCCCCAGAGGGGGATGTGCAGGAGGCAGCTGATCAATGACTCTCTCATCATTGATGTTTCTATTTCTCTCCCTCTCCCTTCCTCTCTCTGAAATCAATAAAGATATATTAAAAAAATAATAATAAAGACCTCTGCATTAGTGCTTTAGAGCAGCTGAATTAGAAGTAGAAAAAACTTTGAAACAGATAAATTTGAACTCTAATGAGGCTGGCTTCAGGTTATGTGTTGAGAGTTAATAAAACAATCTAGAAATACTCTAGAATATATCATTTGTTTAATCTAGTTATGTCAAATGGAATACATTTAACAGTGTCCACTAAAACCTAAAAATCTTTATTATAAAATAGAGATGTTATTTTTATGTTTAATAGAACAAAGTATGAAGTATGTTTATTCCTTTTCTCCTAAATTCAGGTATTTCACCTCCTTCCTTTTTTTAAAATATATTTTTATTGATTTCAGAGAGAGGAAGGGAGAGGGAGAGAGAGAAACATCAGTGATGAGAGAGTCATTGATCAGCTGCCTCCTGCACGCCCCCTACTAGGGATTGAGCCCATAACCCAGGCATGTGCCCTGACTGGGAATCAAACCCAGATCTCCTGGATCAAAGGTCGATGCTCAACCACTAAGCCAAGCCGGCCCGGCTTCACCTTCTTTCTTAGCTGGATTAAATTTATTTAAAACTATGCTGCCCTGGCCAGGTAGCTCAGTTGTTAGAGCATCATCATACACCAAGGCTGCGAGTTCTATCCCCACTCAGGGCACATACAAGAAGCAACCAGTGAATGCATAAATAAGTGGAACAACAAATTGATGTTTTTCTCTCTCCATCTCCCCTCCTCTCTCTCTCTAAAATCAATAAATAGAAAATAAATTTAAAAACATGCTGGTTTATATAGAAAGTACTTTCAACTAAAAAGAAAAAAGTAAGGATGTTTTCACACATTGGTAAATTACATCTTCCTTTGTCCTACTGGGGAAACCTCAAATAATATAATTTATATTATAAAGGATCATTTTCCTGAGGTATTTCCAGTGATTTAAACACATTAAGCAGACTTTTTTCTTTGTACATCGTTTCTCAATTATATAGTAGTAGGTGTTATGTAAATACAGGATTCCATGGTCACATAACTTCAGGAAAAGCTGGCTTGAAGTTTACCATGCTGATTTATTGCAGGACATCTCAGAGGCTTTAATATGCTAATGTTATTTTAATTTGCTTTGAAAATATGTAAGAGTAATATAGTAAGCAGCATTACCCAATTTCAAAAAATGTTTCTCCAGACCTATTTTCTTTGGATGGTGAATGGTGAGGGGCAAGGCCAGGGAACCTCCTCAGAGTATGTGTTAAAGTGGAGTCGGGTAGCAAGAATCAGGATTGCCCTGGAAAATCCACAATATACTATTATAGTGACATGGGCTTTATAAAAGCTACATACCATAATGGCCCTGGTCCAGCCTTGAAGAAGGAGCTACATTTTCACCACAGAACCTCTGAGCTTGCAAAGCCTGAAGTATGAGAGTTATCGCTAGAATGTAGGGATGTCTCTGAGGGCCAGGAATTGTTTTCAATTGTATTTGTTCACTCATGTGACCAACCTACCTTCCTTCCCTCTCTCTCTCTTTCTATTTAAGAGAATTTTGGGGTACTACTGTTGCACAGAACAAATTTTTGAAACTACCGTTCTGATTTATATGTTTTCTCCATAACCCACCAGGAGCAAAGATGGGTCTTGGCTTTTTTCCCTGGCAGTTGTTAGTGATATAAGCCAGAGTCTTGGAATGGATCACAACTAAGTGACCCAAAATGATTATGAGAAGAAGAAAGATCTTTATGAAAGGAATATGAGTACTATTACATTTAAATGATAATTTCATAAATGATATTCTAGAGAATATATGCTGTTTCTATAATAACCTTTTTTACCTTCTAAGAAATAAGATCTGTGAAAATCTCAGTATCTCATTAGTCCTTACACAATTGCTGAAATTAGAAGAAATAGGTTTTGATTCATCTATTTATTCAGTTAGGGAAAATGATGTTGAATCACCTATGCAACAATACCCAGAAGGTTGGGATCTTATTATAAGGTCCTTCTTTGAGGATAACTGACATCCAATTGATTTATCACATATGTACACACCTTCCTTTTTTTTTTTCTTTCCTTCTGTACTTGGCATTACCACCTCTATGAAACATAGTAGATTTGTTCAGACTGAAAATACCCTAAATATTGTGTGGTCTTCAAACTGAGTAATTTGTAGTTCGGTACTGGTAGTCAGGGAAAGAAATAGGTACCTGAGTTTGGGCTCATATTGTTTCTTTTCTCTTGGGTTCCTAGTGCATTTTTGTCCTTTGGAACCAGTTTTTGTTAGATTGGTACTTGTCTCTTTTACCCAGAAATAAAGATGGAAAGTCTGAGTTGGACTTTGATACAGATCAATATGACATCCTGGTATCAGACTTTGGCACAGAAGAAAAAGAGGCTGGTGGGGTTACCTCTGAACTGCCAGAAACAGAGTATTCATTACGGGTGAGTAAGAATGGTTTTTCTTCAACAACGAGAGGTAAGATTTCCTCTAACATGAAAATCTATATAACAATATCTCACTTTAGTTATATAAAGATGACAGCCTTTTAGCCCTGTGTTAGGATTCCTTTTCACTGTCTCCACCAAAAGAGTTTAGTGAATAGATTCAACATTACTTTAGTATGGTAGTTGACATAGTATAATATGGTATGGAAACTGAGCCAAATCTTTGCCCAGAATAGACCTCAGTTGCTAGCAGTATTTTAAGGGGGGTTTTAGTAGAATTGGCAATATCATATAATAACTTTCCCTTCACTGTTCCATAGGCATTTTGTGGTATTCTGTATATGAAGCCAAGAATGAAAATTTTTCTGCGTCAAAAGAAGGTGACTACCCAGATGATTGCCAAGAGCCTTGGCAATGTAGCATACGATATATATAAACCTACCTTCACAGTATCCTTACAACTACATGAATTTTATCTCTTCATTTCAGGATTAGATTTCATAGAAAAACAAAATCCTTTCATTTTCTAATTCAAAAATATGTGTTATAGTACAAATCCTATTACAGTATACTCTGTGTTTCTTAAATGTCAATCTATACACTTTTTAAAAAATTTATCTTGCCCAACCAGGCATGGCTCAGTGGTTGAGCATCAACCTAGGATCCAGTCTATCGGGGTTTGATTCCCAGTCAGGGCACATGCCCGGGTTGTGGGCTTGATCAATGACTCTCATCATTGATGCTTCTATCTCTCTCTCTCCCTCTCCTTTCCTCTCTCTGAAATCAATAAAGATAAATTTTAAAAAATTATCTTTATTGTTGAAAGTATTACAGTTGTCCCCTTTTTTCCCCATTGACCTTTTTTACCTTTTATCTTGCACCCACCCCCACCCCAGGCCTTCACCACACCATTGTATGTGTCCAGGGATTATGCATATAAATTCTTTGGTTAATTTCT